CTCACGGTGAAAAGCGTGCAGTTGCTGGTGACACGGTCGATGTAGTTAGCAAATCCTTCCTTGGTGAGGCGGACCAGGAAGCGTTCACTGATGAAGCGCTGACGGGAAGCGTCGTACAAAGAGAAGAAGACCTCTGAGTCCTCGCCCACGTGATAGCTCATGTCACGCATGCAGAAGAACAAGTGATGGTTCAGAGCGCGCGGTCGTGTGCCTGGGATGACGCGACTACTGCTGCGTCGACAAGCCAGCCTCTGCTCATACAAATGCATTTGTAAAGATACTCACAGTAATTATGCAGGAATGTATTTATTGGAATATATATATATATTTTATTTATAGGAATATATTTTATTTATATTATGTGTGGCTTCAAGAATGTTATGCATGATGCAGGTGAGGTCCGCAAACAGAATATAATTTTTTGATTCCGCCACTCACAAGTCTATATTAAAATTTTATAAAATTATCTTACATTTACCAAAGAAAATATAGAGGTAATATATGTGTGCATAGGTATATAACGCTGAGTAAAAATTCGAAATCATGAATTACAATCAAACACAGCAAAAAATTACCACAAACAATATATATTTTATAAATTGATCTCCTTGACAGAGGAGGCGATATATATGCATGCATTTACAAGAAACAAAAAGTTATACACAAAGTAACTTAATGCCGTCAACTGCCATATAGCGCCACTCACCGAGTTGCTTGGCTCAAAGAAGACTCCCGACTCTGGACGTGCTGTACATGAATGTGCTCACATCAGTCACTATAATCGTTCATCATAGCATTAGTCAATGGCGAGATCGATTCATGCATTCACGGCACTGACGGCAGAATAAAGCAAGAGTTTTCACAAACAAAATATGACACACAAACATCTGTGCTACAGGAGTTGCCAAAGACCTATGTCACCGTACTTCGATATAAATAATCTTTTTTATATACAAAATTGCACTACAATTTTCTAGTGCAATCCAAGCAGCTTCGTAGTTACGGTATGTGATAATCGAACAATGCAAATCATAGTTCTAACTAGTATTATTGTTTTTGTAGAAAAACGACAAAATAAATGCAGTTTTGTGCTGAATGGCGACTCAAGCGTCATTAACTATACAATAAATGATGCACTCACAAGCTGGTAGAGCTTAACGGCCCCCACGGCGTCCACGTCTACCATGGCACCGTCCACTCGAGGTACCAGATCCAGGCCAAGCTTCCTGTGGTGTTACAGGCAATAAAATCAGGAACAAAATTTACATTGAGTGATTAAATATATACCATAATAGACAAAAACAGTCATACTGGATGTAAAAATTCAACGTACTAGACGTTAGTGTTAATATCTGATTGATCTACTGGTGTTGTCAAGTGGTTTAGAATCTGGAAGCCCATGATGACACGCATGTCCCTGTAGCGGTGCAGGAGCTTATGGCGCTTCTGAGGGCTGAACTTCTCGACTTGCAGACTGTCCTGCGTCAGGAAATCAACGCCCAGCAGCAGATAGCGGTTCCATAACTGAAAAATACAAGAGTTTTCATTATTTGTAAGTTTAGTCATCATCAACTGCAAGTAGTAGCTCGGATAGGTCAGACTTATCCTTAGTTCTTACTGGAACTTTCTTTATAATTGTACAAAGCATTGCGTGGGTTTCATTCTCTCCTGAACCGCTTTTGTTGGTCAATATGCGCTTAAATGCTACAACAACAGATACAATGCATTAACCTGTTATTACCTATTCAATAATTTTACTAGAGAAATAATTTCAGATCCCTATTTATGTTAAGCATTATAGTACAAACCAATCTTTTATAAAGGAAAATAATTCCACTGATGTAATACATGAAAAAGTTGTGTTCCACATTCCCTTCTGAATTGTTGATACAATTATACATACAATCACAACGGCCCTATATTTGATTATGCAATCTAATTACCGACCATTTACAGCGCAAAACAAAGTAACATTGAATCTAATTACTTGGTAGTTGAAGTTGCTGCCGGCAGTGAAGTATTTCAAGATGGGCTTCGCGATCTCCTCGAGGGCACCGAGGATGGCGCTGTTGGTGACCATGAGCATGAGGAACCAATCCTTGGGGAAGACGTGCTTGGGGGATGTCACGAGGTTAGACAGCAGCAACACGAAGTTGTGTAGGATGTGCCGCAGCTGCTGAGGGCCTGCGTGTGGTTCAGTGGTGGTGGTTGAGGTGTGCTGCAGGTGCAGCAGCCACAGCTTCTGGTAGTGCACCGGCGTCATCAGCTGCAGCATACCGAGGAGACAAGCCACTAGCAGGTCCTGCAACGCCATAGCATAATTAGTGCACGAAATCGATTAGTCACAGTACGTTGAACCTAGTGTTAGGTATAAAATAATTTAGCCGTCCTATTACTTACATGAGTATTGCTGTTGAACTGCAGGGACAGAATGATCTCGATAACGACATCGATCAGCCCATGCCCGTTGAAACTAAGACAAAGTATATTAAAATTGAACTTTCCTATTACTTACATAAGTTTTGCTCTCGAACTGCAGAGACAGAATTATCTCAATAAAGAAATCGATGAGCCCATGCCCGTTGAAACCAAGACTAAGTAGGTATATTATAGTTGAACTTTCTTAGGCATTACTTACATAAGTGTCGTTCTGGAATTGCAGAGACAGAATGGTTTCAATAACAACATCGATGAGCCCCAGCACAAGTGTCTCAATGTCCTGCTCTAGCGCGGCGTCAGGAGCCAGGGGCGCTTTGCTCAGACGGGCGTCGTAGTGTCGCTGTGATCGCTGGTCCGCCAGCAGGGACACGACCTGCCCCAGGATACGAGCGCACAGCTGCAGCTCTACCTTCGCCTGCAGATGAGCACGTAGCTGCTCACATGCGCTCGACACCACCACGCGACGTCCGTCTGACACGAGGGGGAAATTAAACATTTGGTTTTTTTCCATATTTTCTGCGTGAAGAATATGGGGAAAAATATAGGTACATAAAAAAATATGTTTCTTTGAAAAAACTATTAACGAGGGAAAAATTAAACATTTTATTGAGAATGTTTTGGTTTTTCATTTTATTGAGAAAATGTTTTGGTTTTTCTACATATTCTTTGCGTGAACAATATGGAGACCCAAAGATATATAAAATTATAAGTTTATATGAAGAAATTGCTAAATCAAAAGTTCATTCGATCAGTTAATAATCGTTACCAGTACAATATTAAGCACATATAAATCCTGAAAAATGTCTCGAAATTCACCCAAAAAGATTAATAATAATCGTTACGATATAAGCATGTTGAAATGCTCAAAAATGTTCAAAATTTAACCAACCAGGTAAATTACACTATTTAACAACAATACAATAGAGATGTACAAGACAGGGCGCACAAAGCTCTACAATTTAGATATAAGAAAGAGTTATTGGTTGGAGTATGACTGACCTAAAATAGAATCGCTTACAACGGAGCGCAAAAAAAGCTCTACAATTTAGATAAATTAAAGGGCTATAGGTTGGAGTAAGACTGACCAGGATCAGCACAGAGGATGGTAGAGCAAGCATGAGTGTAGGCGATGAGTCTGTGCTTGGTGAGGTGGTCTGTGATGGGTACGGATGGAGATGTGCACAGCAACGCGCACAGCAGCCGTGCCACGTCACCGACACGCAACACCCGGCACAGCTGCTCACAGCCGCTGTGCACGTTCTCCAGCAACGCCACCTGTCATCAATACAGATGTATAAGTGCTGTGATCAATACAGCAATATATATGTAAGTGCTGTCATTAATACAGCGATATATATAAGTGCTGTCATCAATACAGCGATATGTATAAGTGCTGTCATCAATACAGCGATATATGTAAGTGCTGTCATCAATACAGCGATATATATAAGTGCTGTCATCAATACAGCGATATATATAAGTGCTGTCATCAATACAGCGATATATAAATGCTGTCTTCAATACAGCGGTATATATAAGTGCTGTCATCAATACAGCGATATATATAAGTGCTGTGATCAATACAGCGATATATATAAGTGCTATCATCAATACAGCGATATATAAGTGCTGTCATCAATACAGCGATATGTATAAGTGCTGTGATCAAAACAGCGATATATATAAGTGTTGTTGATCAATAGATCGATATTCATAAGTGCAATGCGATAAATACCTGATTACCATTTTTATGCACAAGATGATTGCTTGATACCGAAAGTTCGCAACAAGTCTTCAGTATTGTCAGAAGCTCTCGAGCATATATACAGCATAACGCCAGCAACTAGGTATGTTCTAATACACGAAATCCAATCTAAATAAAGTTTTCTTCCCCATCAAATTTGCGGAATTTGATGATAGACCTTGTTACTATTATTACCACCTTGATTTCAGGTGCTACAAAAAGCTGAGCTTCAATTTGTTCGGAATTTATAGAGCCTCAAACCCGAGTGTGTAAGATACAATCAGATTTTCATGAGTCCCTCAGCATCAGATTTTCAATCCCTCAGCATCAGATTTTCACGAGTTCCATGAAATACGCTGATCTAATATAAATGCACCGCTTAAAAAATCAAATACAGCCTAGGCAGAAAAGAATAAACTAAGCCAATTCGATTTCTCTCACCTGCGCAACAAGCACTTTCTCCTTCTGAACGAGTAGGAGCTGCGCGAAGGAATCAAAGAGGCGCGCGACGTCCGTCCTAAAGGAATCTTCATTGGACGCGCCCGTGGCTCTAACAAAGAGAAGCCGCGATTGAACACTGAACTTGAAAATGAATTTGAGAGCTCGGAAGCACTGGATGATGGAGTCTTGCTTATCTGTCTGAGAACAAAGATCAGAAAGATGCTGGACACAAGTGATGAGTCCTTTGTGTACCAATGCTGCAGCGAAGTGGCCAGTGATATAAGCGTCCATTACGGGGTTGAAATGTTCAAACTTGCGTTCCTCCAACATGGTGAAGATGACGACGAGGGAGTGGAAGACGTGGCCAGAGTACTGAGTGCTGTTACCTTCGTCAGTACTGAACATTGAGAATAATGCATCCAGGACATCCTGAAGGAACTTGACGATTTCCAGTCCGTCGACACGCTCTAGACGCTCCAGGGTCTCACCGATGCCGTCTGGGTCGCTCTTCCAGCGCAGCAGTGACAGTAAATCAACTGGAAAAAATAAGCATAAATTAATGAACACATTTCCCTACAATAGCATTCAACAAACAAGAGAAAAGTCACGTAATTAACAGCAGTGCAGATCAATTTCAAGCCAGGTTAAAAATCGTGAATATTTTTGACGAAAAATCAAGCGGTCTTATTCAAGCCAACAACTAAATGAAAGACCACCTCAATGATTCATCAACAAATAGTAGAGATATTAGAAAAGGAAAAGATTTTCTAGCTTTTTAGATACCCGTTACATATTTCGGACCAAATGCACGATCTCCAAATACGTTGCCTTATCGTCACCAACAACATTAATTAGAATTACTCAAAGCACAAACCATTTTGAGAGAGTTTACAATTACTCGATTACTCAAATTACAATTACTTAAAGCACAAACCATTTTGAGTGAGTTTACAATTACTCGATTACTCAAATTACAATTACTCAAAGCACAAACCATTTTAATTTTTGTTGCATTGAGATTTAATTTCTATTGATGCTATTTTTGAATACAATGCGCCTCTATACATAATATAAATCACTTCTCCTTCTCAGTTTGTGTACTTACATACATTAAAATACGATTTTTTAAGTGTACGAATATTTATTTCCCCCCACTGTATATAAGTACTGTCATCAATACAGAGGTATATACAAGTGTTGTTGATCAATAGATCGATATATATAAGTGCAATGGCGATAAATACCCGATTACCATTTTTAAGCACACGATAACTGCTTGATACCGAACGTTCGCAGCAACTCTTCAGTATTGTCAGAAGCTCTCGAGCATATATACATAGCATAAAGCCAGTAACTCCGTATGTTCTTTTACCAAGAATCCGATCTGAATAAAGTTTTCTTTCCCGCCAAATTTACGGAATTTCATGATAGACATTGTTACTATTATTACTACCTTGATTTCACGTGCTCCAAAAAGCTGAGCTCCAATTTATTCAGAATTTATAGACCCTCAAACCTGAGTGTGTAAGATGCAAATCCCTCAACATCAGATTTTCATAAGTTCAATGAAATACGCTGATTTAATATAAATGCACCCATTAAAAAACACATATAGCCTAGGCAGAAAAGAATAACTGAGCGAATTCGATTTCTCACCTGCGCAACAAGCACTTTCTCCTTCTGAACGAGTAGGAGCTGCGCGAAGGAATCAAAGAGGCGCGCGACGTCCGTCCTAAAGGAATCTTCATTGGACGCGCCCGTGGCTCTAACGAAGAGAAGCCGCGATTGAACACTGAACTTGAAAATGAATTTGAGAGCTCGGAAGCACTGGATGATGGAGTCTTGCTTATCTGTCTGAGAACAAAGATCAGAAAGATGCTGGACACAAGTGATGAGTCCTTTGTGTACCAACGCTGCAGCGAAGTGGCCAGTGATATAAGCGTCCATTACGGGGTTGAAATGTTCAAACTTGCGTTCCTCCAACATGGTGAAGATGACGACGAGGGAGTGGAAGACGTGGCCAGAGTACTGAGTGCTGTTACCTTCGTCAGTACTGAACATTGAGAATAATGCATCCAGGACATCCTGAAGGAACTTGACGATTTCCAGTCCGTCGACACGCTCTAGACGCTCCAGGGTCTCACCGATGCCATCTGGGTCGCTCTTCCAGCGCAGCAGTGACAGTAAATCAACTAGACAAAAAAGAACAAAATGAACATAAATTAACGAACAAATTTCCCTACAATTAGCATTCAATGAACAAAAGAAAAGTTTATATAATTTACAACAGTGCAGATCAACTTCAATTCAGGTGTCACAATCGTGGATATTTTTTGATGAAAATCAAGCCGTTTCGTTCAAGCCAACTACTAAATTAAAGATCACCTCAATGATCAATCAACAAATAGTAGATACCGGTATATTAGAAAAGGAAAATATTTTTCAGCTTCTCATATAGCCATTACATATTTGGAAGCTAATGCACGATCTCTAAATACGTGGCTTTATCATTACCAAAACATTAATTACAATTACTCAAAGCACAAACCATTCTGAGTGAGTTTAGTGGAGCAGAGTCGTGTGCCGCCCTCAGCTTCCATCAAACGCACGAATGAAAAGCCAAATAACTTTTTTTCGTTGCGCTCTCGAGCTGCACAAACGTTTGGAAATTCCGTTAACATTTGATAAGTTGTGAGGAAAGCAATAAGGATGAAACTGTAACTTCACATTTTGGTAGGTACGGATACAATTTTCATTTAATCAGGCCAACGTGACATATGCAGGATTCCAGAGAAACAATTTAATCATGGCTAAATTTGATCTTCGTGATTGGCGTTCAAAACAACTCCAAGGGCAGTAACGCAAAAATTTTATAAGTAAATACGTAATCTGTTCTTAAATTTGAGTTGGACGATCGCCAGGGGATAGTTTATCAATTTTTTGTGGTAACATGGACAGGTTAAGGTAGTTTGTCAGCGTTTTAATTATGCTCGACAAAGCACTGTCAATATACGTGAACGGTGACATGCAGATTACGGCAGATTTACTTGGGAAATAAGTTGACTAATTTTCGAACCTTGGAATAAGTTTGATGGTACCTATATGTAAACAAATGGCGCGACTTGTACCGCCTGAATTAAGTAACCGAATCAATTCTTACTCGAGCAATGACGATACTCAAAGCGAAGGTGAGCACCAGCAAACTTGTCGATGGGTATGGCGATCTTGATGCACTCGGCCCAGCGGGGTGCGTTGTTGTGGTACAGAACCACGGAGCTGTACTCGCTGCACGGCTCGAACCCCGTCGCCCCTGATATGCACTGGGGAAACATGAGCTGAAGTTAGGTTATGCACTGGGGAAACATGAGCTGAAGTTAGGTTATGACTGGGGAAACATGAGCTGAAGTTGAGTTATGCACTGGAGAAACATGAGCTGAAGTTAGGTTATGCACTTGCAACACAAGAGCAGAGGTTAGTAAGCGGTTGTGTAAGCAAATGGAGGTAACAAAGCTGAATGATCACAGCGCAAAAATCTTGTCATTGATGAACAAAACGCCAAACTAAAATATATCAAAATTTTATACATTTTCGCTAGGACTCGATTGGATCATATAAGTGTCTTCATTATGTTATCTTAAGAAATTGCTAACAAAACTTGATTCCCATACTTAAGAGGTGAGATACTGTAAATTACAGCAAAATTGAAATATTAAACCAACGAAACTGCTATTTATGTGCATGAAACGAAAATGTCGAATTAGCTGAAAGCTACACAATGGATCTCCCCAAAACGTGCACATAAAATTAATTTTCAATAATTAAAACAAAACTAACGTTTATAGGCGTGCCAGTGAAGTCCAAGGCGACGACAGCGACTTCAATGTTTTTGCCAACACTTTTGCCGGCACGTTCAAACTCTCCGTGGGAGAGCGTGAGGTAGAGATCGTTCCTAACGTCACCAGGCATGATGACGTCAGAGAAGCCCATCTTGTTGGTGACGCGAACGTTCTTCAGTAGCAGCGGATGTTCCTTTAATACCAGGTCCAGCTCACCGCACAACACGCGCACGCTCACCACCAAACCTGCATGACACATCCACATTACTGTTCATGTAGTCAAAAACGTACAAGAAATGGTGGGGGCTTCGTACCATTTAAATCCGTTTTTAGCGCATTTTCTCATTTATGGAAAAAATGCCCTATTATGCTCGTCATGTCCGTCTGTCTGTCCGTGACTTCACGTTTCCGTCGACGAGAAAATGCACTCTCTGTCACTCACTGCAGTGAGTACTGAGTTACATTTTTTTTAATTAATAGACCAAGAAAATTTCTTCTAAGAACAGCGTAACTTTTATATTCATTCAGTACAGGGTTGAGAGAGGGATGTGGTCGGAAGGCAAAGGTGACCGTGTCGAATGTTTTAGTACATTAATCCTATTTTTTAGGATGTAGACATGTATAATTGAATGATTCAATCTATTAGGATTGTAGTGAACACCTATAATATAAATTGAACTTATTTTAACTGCTGAGTGGGACGTGAAATTTTATTTTTTTACGCTAGTTAAAGATTTTAATGCAGCGTGAATGACCGATCTAAATGTCTTGACCGGAGGTCAGCACCAAGTTTCCATCTAAATATCAGTTGCAAGATAACTAAATAACTAACCATTTACCACTATTGTCTTCTTTTATATTATTATTATGTTTTCGTCTTGATGATAACAGTACAGTATAATAAGTTTTGAGTCATGTGTTGCGTGTATCATCGCTATAATATGCAAAATGTTTGGCAGCAATAAACTAGTCTAAAATCCGGCTAATGACACTTGAGATACTCGACATCTAGGGGTTATAAAAATCATTCTCTGAGATTAAATCAATTATTCAGGTGAAGTTAATCATTTAAAAAAAATTAAAATATATTAAAGGTAATAATTGAATTGAATAAATAAATAAAGAATGTTGTTTAAAGGAAAATAAAGCTACCGCAGCTGGTGTTGGTGGAGAGGACGGAGTATTTGCTGTTGAGTTTCTTGATGATAAAGTCGTGCAGCTGCCACATGTCCTTCTCGTCTGTAGTGCAGAGCTTTGTTGTCTGCTCCACCTGGGTAAATATCAACATGAAATTAGGAGTGTTACTTAAATCATAATATGAGACTCATTTGACGAAACACAGATGGCAACAAAATACTCCTACTCTTTTCAGCGCCTCATGTTCCAGAAAAGCTAATATACATGAAATAATCTATCCGCCTCAAAGTACAGACTCGTTCAATTTAATAATTGAAGCCAATTTCTAGAAGAATTTTCTACAAATAAAATAAACTGACCTCAACATCTTTCTCCCTGAGGTCATCGAGGTCGAGCTTGATGACACCAGCAGCAAAGGGCCGTCGGTAGAGCTGACACGGGCTCTTCTTGCTGCTCTCAGAGAAGAGCATGCGACCAATCCGCACCACCTGACACACCAGGTACACTTCGCTGCTGAACTCACAAGCCCCAAGGTCCTGAAAACCAAAAGCAGGGAGTTATGTAATGTCTTACATTAACGTGTATATAATGTCTTTCGTTATAATATGGCACATCGTTTTTTGATGACTAATTTCACTCTTACATCATAGAAGAATAGTATCTGATTTTTCTCTAGCTCATTTGTTAGCTAAAATTTTGAAAAAGATTCTTCACATCATACAAATTATAATGCACAGTCCGTTATAATATGTCACATGGTTTTTTGATGACTAATTTTACTCTTACATCATAGAAGACTAATATCAGATTTTTTTCTAGCTTATTTGCTAGCTAAAATTTTGAAAAAGATTCGTCACATCATACAAATTATAATGCAAAGTCCGTTATAATATGGCACATCGTTTTTTGATGACAAATTTCACTCTTATAACATAGAAGACTAATATCTGATTTTTCTCTAGCTCATTTGTTAGCTAAAATTTTGATAAAGATTCCTCACATCATACAAATAATAATGCACAGTCCGTTATAATATGACACATGGTTTTTTGAGGTCTAATTTGACTCTTACATCATAGAAGACTATTACTATCTGATCTTTCTCTAGCTCATTTGTTAGCAAAAATTATGAAAAAGATTCGTCACAACATATAATGCACAGAGCTATAATGTGACAAATCGGAGCTAAATTATAATGCACAGATCTCACGGTGAAAAGCGTGCAGTTGCTGGTGACACGGTCGATGTAGTTAGCAAATCCTTCCTTGGTGAGGCGGACCAGGAAGCGTTCACTGATGAAGCGCTGACGGGAAGCGTCGTACAAAGAGAAGAAGACCTCTGAGTCCTCGCCCACGTGATAGCTCATGTCACGCATGCAGAAGAACAAGTGATGGTTCAGAGCGCGCGGTCGTGTGCCTGGGATGACGCGACTACTGCTGCGTCGACAAGCCAGCCTCTGCTCATACAAATGCATTTGTAAAGATACTCACAGTAATTAAGCAGGGATGTATTTATTTGTGAAGATTCTCAGAATAATGGGCAAACTGGTCTAGAACAAAATGTGTGGCTTCAAGATTGTTATGCATGATGCAGGTGAGGTCCACATACAGTAATGTCATTTCATGATTCCGCCACTCACAAGTCTATATTAAAATTTTATAAAATTATCTTATATTTACCAAAGAAGATATAAAAGTAAGATATATGTGCCAATGTATATAACGCTGAGTAATAATTCGGAGAAATGAAATAAAATAAAACCCAGTAAAAAATTAACACAAAAGTATAATTTTTTACAAATTGATTTCCTTGAAAGAGGAGGCAATATATATACATGCATTTACAAGAAACAAAAAGTTTTACACAAAGTAACTTAATTCCGTCAGCTGCCATATAGCGCCACTCACCAGAGTTGCTTGGCTCAGAGAAGACTCCCGACTCTGGACGTGCTGTACATAAATGAGCTCACATCAGTCACTATAATCGTTCATCATAGCATTAGTCAATGGCGAGAACGATTCATGCATTCACGGCAGAATAGAGCAAGAGTTTTCACGAACAAAATATGACACACAAACATCTATGTTACAGGAGTTGCCACAGAAATATATAAATATTTCTAAATATATATTATAAATTTATATATTTATATTTCTTCAATATAAATGATATTTTATATACAAAATTGAACTACAATTTTCCAGTGCGATCCACGCAGCTTTGTAGTTACTACGTGATAATTGAACAATGCAAATCGTAGTTATAACTAGTATTATAGTTTTTTTAGACAAGCTGCAAAATAAATGCAGTATTTGCGCAAGACTCAAGCTTCATTGACCATACAATGAATGATGCACTCACAAGCTGGTAGAGCTCAACGGCCCCCACGGCGTCCACGTCTACCATGGCACCGTCCACTCGTGGTACCAGATCCAGGCCAAGCTTCCTGTGGTGTTACACGCAATAAAATCAGGAACAAAATTTACATTGAGGAGTGATTAAATATTTACCATAATAGACAAAAATGGTCATATTGGATGTAAAAATTCAACGTACTAGACGTTAGCATCAACTAAGTTTTTTAGACAAGTTCTGTCATCAATGACTAGCATGTGAATTCAACCAAGATGATGTGTGTCAATGGTTGCCTTGTGATGTCTTAGTTTTAATTTGAACATGGAGCTGGTCTCCAAACGTTTTTAATGAAGATACGACAAATTTAATAGGCGTTTTCCTTGCGTTTTAGCGCATTTTCTCATTTATGGAAAAAATGCACTTTTGTGCTCGCCATGTCCATCTGTCTGTCTGTCCGTCCGTCCGTGACCTCAAATTTTCGTTGACGAGAAAATGCGCTCTCTTTTACTCACTGAGTTATATTTTTTGATTATTTATTAACCAGCAATTTAAGCAAAGATATTACCTACATAAATAGTTAGGCAGATTTGGGCACACATCTTGGATGAATATCTTTGTTAAATGGAACAAAAATTTGTTACCTATTGCCCCAGTCAATGCGGCGCGTGATCTGAAGGTGGAGCTGAGTGATCTGCTCAGTCGTGAGCGTTGCAGTGATGAGCTGTCGTCGCCAGGCACTGACTTCCAGCATGGCTGATCTGATGGCTTCAAAGTCTGCTATGGCCTGAGGCGCATCATCACGACTACAGTCAAGATTCTGCACATATTTTGAATAATTTCCTGATTTAAAAGCTTCTTTACCATCATTGACAGTTAAGAAAATCTAAAAAGAAATATATAGATAATGGTAATAGATATCAATTTAAAGAGCATTTTGTTTATGACGGTTTGCTGCAAGGTTAACCTCGTGTGCTCCTTTTAAACCATTTTCACACTATAGCACACTCATTTTAACCAAGAAACATCAGCCTACACTTCTTTGCTTAAAATACAATAAATTTTAGTTGGGACTCATACTTCAATCTAATCCCTTATGCTAAGGGCCTTATAACAGCTGTAACCTGCACTCCTTAGTAACAGGTTATTTGTAAATGCTTTAGGGAAGTTAGCAAAATGTGGCACATGTACCTTGAGAGAATAGAAGCTTGGCCACATGCTATATAGGTATATGATAAAACCATGTAACAAGGACTATGACTCAAGGAGCCCTTCATAAAACAGAAGAGAATAGCCTCTGAGCATTATATATAGGATTCAGTTTTTGATGTTGTTTATATTAGACAAAGAATCAATGAGAATAATGTTTAGTTTCTGAAAAATAATTGGTGGGGAGCATCTGTTTTATAATTTTTCTAGAGAAACAAATCTTGCTCCGCTCTTGGCAAATGCTTCATAATTCCATTCCACATTGCATTTATTCAATGAATATTCCTTCTGAATGTCTTGATTCCTCTTTTGCTGTTAAAGAGTTGAGCTCTACCTGAAGCCACAACTTTAAGTAGTCTTAAGTAAAACACAGAGAACTTCCAGTTATTCAGATTACATTCGAAATAAAATTATGCTTACAATGAATTTTTCCTTCCAGATCTGTCCCCACTCCCTGAGCACTGCAGCTGCCTCCTGCACCACGGCATCCTCAACAGGGATGACAAGCTCCTGCGCTCTGAAATGCAAATATTAATTAAAAATCACCAAGATACAAGCAAATATTTTTCTTAGCTCCAAAACAGGCAACTCTGGTTATGAAAATGGCTACCTTAGGTATGTCCCAATTTTATCACAGAAAATGATTGAAACAAAATAAAATAAATTTCATACTGTTAAATATTACAGGTAAAAAATTCCCTACCCTTCATTCTCCACTCGAAATGCTTTGAGGTGGATGAAGCTGGCAGGAAAAATCCCCAAAGCATTGCGGTTTTTGGTGCAGAATCCCCGGTACCAACCTGTGAGGCAAATAGTTATGAGACATAGATCTAAAGTTTTGTGTAAATTCTATCTTAATACTGTATGTATGTATAAATGAAATGCTTAACATGAATTTTAGTAAAGTACAAAGTCTCTAGTCTAATATCATCAATTAGAAAATAAGACACTACAAAACAGTCATTTTAATCATCAATACAAGACATAGCAACATGCATGTTATAGGCATTCTCTTCCAAAGACCCAATATGACTATTAATAAGGATGAAATTTAAAAGGCTAAACTTCAAGTAAACTTTAGAAACACCTCCTTACACTTCTTTATCAAGCATGAAAACATGTATAGAAAAATCCTAACAGTAAATTAGTAATATCTCAATTTCATTAATTCAAGATAATAGATTATTGCAAGCATTCTTTTTATTATATATATAAATACCTTCACAGCTCTCTAGGATGTGAACTGTGTCACCAACATCTAAGCGCAGGCCACCCTTCAGATTACCCGGCCACTCATGGAAGTTATACACAACTGAAAAATAATAATTAAATAAATTAGTCTTTTATGACACAAACAAAGATTAAAAAGGCTGGACAATTTTCCTAACATAATTCACCTCTAAAAAAAAGTCATTACAGATGTATGCATGTTTATTTCTGATTTGGTTTTCAACATTTCATACTGGCATATTAAATATTATAATTTTTGAACATAGATATCTAATTTATCATTTTTATTCAAATTTCAAACTTGATGATTGTTCTATCTCCATCAGAGCTCAAATTTGCCCAAAAATATATGAACTTTCATTTCCAATCTAGAGTAGGTAGGGTAAACGCGGTATATTCCGACATCGTAGGTAATTCCGTCACCTCTCCAGCTTTTCCTTTATATTAAGCTTTGTTTTAGTTCCATGCGTCTATTGAATAGTTTATGCCGCGTACAAATTTATTGACCAAAAACGTTTACCATCCTGAAATGAGGTCGGACTGCAAGTTTGGTAGTTCAAACTTCGATGAAACCAAAGCCACTAACTTGACAGTGCTGACAGGTGACGGTGACTACGCTACTATAGGATACCATATTTTAATAACATGAAAAAAAGTTCAACAAGGAGTGTTCAACTGTAAGCAAAAACATCATTTATTGAGCGAGAAATGTTTCCCTTTGATAACGTCAGTGCATGTTCGTTACTTCGATGGAGCGCCCGCCAACTAATAAGCAAATATGTTGGTTACTAAGCTAAGCTTCTCGAGTCTAGGGAATATCAGTAACACCACCGAGTTACCTACTCAGTTGATTTCGTCACTATAGTAAAGGCATTACGCACTACACCACTCTACAGTTATTCTATTATAGGGAAAAGACTAATTTACTACCGCCTATTGGTACGTTTGGTGTGTTGTTTAATATAGCAAGAAATTTATATACGTCTAGAATATCAATTGGAAAGTTGCCACTTTCGTTCCCAGTTTCCCACGTCTCGGACGAATTTACAGTCGGACCCGCGGCCGGTCTCCAGATTCAGTGTACATCGAATAAGGTCTCGGACAAATTTACGGCCGGACCCGCGGCCGGTCTCGCGGCCGAAAGGTTTTCTTAGTGTTTTTATGGGTTTTTCTAGGTTTTTTTTTGGGTTTTTAATGGAACCTGTTCCTAACTGGACCTAACCTGTGAGGTTTTCGTTGATTGGCTAGGTTTTTTCTATGTTTTTAGTCCGGCGGCCGCGAGTACGGCCGCGGGTCCGGCCGTAAATTTGTCCGAGACGTCATCGAATTATTCGAATATCTCTCAAAGTACTGAACGTAGCTCGGTGAAACTTGGTACACGTATTCATTATGGCCTGATGGTGATGTCAAGCTTGTGCATTCCCTTGGATATGAAACGTCCGGAAAATACTTATTTACATATTGGGTGTGACCGTGTCAGTAACAATGATAAGGGTTTTAATTGGCTAGAATTCATACTACTAAAGCACATAAAGAAGACATGCCATTGTACATTTAAGTTTTTTTAGTTGTGGCTTGAAATGTGACTGTTGAGTACATATAGGGGCCTGAGGGATAATCGTGTGCGTATTAAATAAAATACTTTAAAAAAAAACTTTTTAAAAAAACACGTTTTTATTGTGGACTAAAAAGTAGGAAATAAATTATGGCTCGCCCCAAAAACGTGTGTCGGGCAGATTTATGATTAAAGCAAAAAGCACACAACACACTAATTTTAGAAATTTGATGGTGAACGTACAGCCCGACCCACGTCATATTGGCAGATTCATGATTATAAAAAAGCGAAAAGCACACAACACACGAATTTTGGAAATTTGATGGTGAACGTACAGCCCGACCCATGTTTTTTCGACCCTCTCGAACGGCATTTCTCTTTCCCCTTTCAAACGGCTTTCCCTTTCAAGCTCTTCTGATGAAACGTTTTTTTTCAATTTCTCTACGTGGATAAAAAAGAGTCCCAGGTTAAGAGGGAACCATTTTTAACATGAATTTAGCATTATAGGTAGTTTATTTTTTCATTTATTCCTTGAAGTGTGACAAACAAATAGGTCTTCCATCGTTTCCATTTGAATTAAAAATAAATGATGCGCATTTTGAATGTATGTATGGCCTAAGCATTCGTGTGTATGTTTGAATGTATGGCCTAAGTATTCGTAAACATTTTGAGCCTGTGAAACGAGCTGTGTGTAGAGCAGGCCTATCTACAAAATTTCATGTTGGTCTAAATATTTTCTAAATGCAAATTAACTCACATTTACCTTCCATTGAAAAAAACGAAAATTTTTATAAGATATTTAACGTCGCAAATGGATTTTTGCCTAGAATCACACAACACATGTCTTAAATTGCTCATAAAAGAGTCTCATCATGTTAATGATTTTTAGTTTCTTAAATTATATTAGTCGTCGCTATAAGGTAGTGGCCTTCTCAAGTTATTCTGTTTGAGCTTATATTTCATTGCAGGTGAACCGTTTTTGTTCACTGGTTGGTCAAAATATCTTAACAAGTGTTTCCCGAACTTTGTATGTTTGACTCTTTTTTTTTTATTTATCATAAAATTTATCGTTATCAAATATTTAAGTCCGCGCCTCCGCGGTTTAGTACCACGCTCTCGTCATATTCGTATATGTTAAACTGTGACAGCAGCCAGCGTTATGTCAAATATGAAGATCTTGAACTCGCCTCTCAGACTCTTGTAAAACCGTGTTATATTTTCGCAATATCGTAAGGTAGGCATTAGCATGAGCTAAACTACATGTGAATTAGGGAATAATGTTTAACTGCTGTTTCTAGGGCAAAATTTGAGCTTATTCGTGAATCGTGATCGCGCGCCGCAGCGCGCGTGCCATCGCCGCCAAAAGTTTGCAACTTCGCGGTTCAAGAATGGCTTTCCACGGCTTGAGAAATAGGCTTACGGCTTGAAAATTCGTTATTTCGCGGCTCAAAAAATCGAGTCGCGGCTCACAGAGTAGATCTTTTCCTCCCCTGGATGTCGGCAATACGTATCAGTTAAATTTGAAGCGCTGACGCAATACGACTCACCACGTGTCGAATAATGCCACACAAAGTGACGGAATATAGGGATTTGGTAGGTTTCCATTCTAAAGGCTTTTTAATAAATATGGCAACATTTTGTGACGTTTCATCGTTGCCGACGCGTAGTGAAGTGTTTTGAGAGTCATGTGAAGGCAACAGAACTTATGTAATGCATACGTTTTTTTTTATAGTTTTTCATTTCTCAATGCGTCCTTAATGTGTCGGAATATACCGCGTTTACCCTATCAATATAAAGAATGAGCAAGTTCATTTAACTTCATCCTAAAGCCAATTATGCTAGTCTATCAAGCATCTATTCAATAAATGTAAAGAGTCATAGAAATTAATTAGAAGAAACTTACCAGCACCATATTTTTCATTCTTTGTTGGCTTCCACATGATGCATCAATGGCAGCTGCCAAGTGCCAACTGCCAACCAATAGGTTAAGGTACTAGGTAAATAGTAGCCTAAATGCTATGCTCCTTTCTCTCACACAGCTGAACACAGCTATTTTATAGGTAGTTTTCAACCAAAAGCCATACTAGCTAAGAGAGTTTTATTCATAAAAACTGGATAGAATTAGAAAAAGGAACTTTAAGAAGTAAAGTCATTAATAATATTACAATAAATGTGAAGCCTATGTAGTTAAAAGAAGCAAAAAAGTTGCATAAATCTTATGTGAACAAAGTTCCACATTTCAACTGTAGTAGGTAAAGTGTGATCTTGTGAAGTTCAAGTAGGCCTAGGCAGCTAGGCCTAGCCTAGCTTTAGCTACTGAAGTTTTCATTTCTATTCAGGTTTCAGGCCAAGTTCATGCTTTCAAAGTAATTTAATGCAGTGTAAAAGTAAGCTAAAAAGAAGTTAGTATTCTGCAGCTCATGACTCAAGTTTCAAAAGATCGAATAGTCTTGAATAACGGCCTAACTTTAAACTTGTCCATAAACATGATAGCGATACTAAATGAGTCAGACATATTTATTTTTAACTGAGGGCTGAGGCCAATGTTTTACGTTTCTATAATGAAAAGGTTCTAAAATCACTAGCAAGTTTAAGAAAATCGACTGATTTTTCAACTCACTGGCAGGAAAATAACTATAGATTGATATTAGCTTAAAAAGTCTTCGATAGGTGTGAAAATCGCCTGATATGTATCAAAAATACAAAGCTGAACCCAAACATTTGAGATTACGCATCGTCCGGATTCCAAAAAATGAAATTCTAATTATAGTTTGACATTATTACATTACGATTTCTTAAACAAATTTTTGTTTTGACCCACATCCTCATGGTTGAACTATATATTACCACGCGCATCCTGATAACGATATTGATATACATTTTTATCTGTATATAACATTTTCATTTGTTTATGGGCGAGGGGGCGCCACTGGATTCTGTTGAGAAATGGAACTTGATATATCAATTATAATTTGAATAATACTAATTATATCACGAAGTATAAATACAGATGCTTTGGACAGGGTCGCCCAGAGGTTAGATTTCGTTGTGCCATAATTGCAGCAGAGAGTTGAGGGTTTTATCCCAGCTCTGCGCGTCAGTTTTTTTGTCAGAATCTGCAAGGAGGCCGGGTGTTTAAAAGCAAAATTGGAGCAGTGAGTTGCGGGTTCGAGATCGCAACAAGCTGTGAATGTTCGGCGATATTAAGAATCGGCAACAGCTCTAACAGGCGAAGAACGTTGATACCGTTACCATACCGTACTACACTACCTACACTATTATTAGTAAAGATACAATTACAATAATTTTTTTACTTATGAGTTAGAATTTAGCAATTAACAAAGAATTGATTGACTACACCATATATATACATATCCAATGGATTAAAAAAATTGTGTTGTAAATTTTATCCTCAATATGTTTCTAATTAAAACTACCGGTAAGTATAATTAGTATCTGGTATTCAGTCATTTATGCCTTTTTAGACCAATATTATTATGCTAAAAATATCTCAAATTGAACGTAAGCAGCAAAATTAATTATTACTAATAGGCCTATGTAGACTTTATAATTTCTCCATTCAACTTCGCGTTACTGATACGACTCGAACGAGATGGTTGCCACGTTACACTGATATTTCATATGAATATGATCAATATTGCAAGCTCATACAATATTTAAAGCTGGCGCTTTTTGGCCTCAGGTGCGTATTTTTTTTTTCTCGCCTAGTCGGCAAATCTTGGAATTCAGAGGCACACTCAACGGCGGACTTTACGCAAAACGCACTCTGTGTTTTTAACTTAATATATGTGTAGCCTCTTTGGATATCTGTACGAATTACCTTATTATTGAAAATGTTGTAACCTCCCTTGGAGCGCGGGTACTGCCAATGAAAATATTATGCAGCATTGATGGATATTATCAATGTTATTCAAGCTATTATTCTACTATCATTCATGTTATTATTCACTGGTATTCATTAAGGTCGGACCGGAGGTCCGCGTGCTGTACAAATTCAATGTGTAAATGTCCAACATCAACTATTATCAAGTCTGGATGAAATTAAAAGCATTGCTCATTAATATGATTACGCTGCAGTTATGCCTACTGCGTTATTAATGCATATTTATTAATAAAAAACTCAGTGTCTCAGTAAAGTATCTTCTCAGCAAATAAATTTTACTGTTAATATGAGAAGAAACAAAACATTTTCTTGACATATTGTAGAACAAATAGACTGGGCTTTATTGAAATAAATGTTGATCTATGATCAATTAATTATTGTTTATATAGCGCATTTTCTCATCTATTGAAAAAATGCCCTATTCTGCTCGTCATGTCCGTCTGTCCGTCCGTCCAGCCGTCTGTCCGTGACTTCACGTTTTCATCGACGAGAAAATGCGCTCTCTGTCACTCACTACAGTGAGTACTGAGTTATATTTTTTTATTATTATGCGGGGAGTCTAAAAAATAGCTAATCGGAAAGAATCTAATGTTAATTTTGAGCATTATAAGAACCCAGCCACAATTTTTAAATTAAAAATTCTCAAATTTATTCAGAGTCATCTGGATCCTGGGAATATTTATTGGTGAGCAAATGTGAAGACTAGTCTTGAGAAATTGCCGAGCATTTTCTGGCCGAAAAATGCCTTTTTGCGGCATAAATAAACGAATCTGTATATTTTTAATCACATCATTTCTTCTCGTACATTAATTTTTTTACTAGAATGTCATCGAAGCCATTCTGTAAATATGTTCGGAGAATTTTCCAAAAATTTTCGTGAATTTGAATGTTTCTTAATACTGAAGCTTCAACTGCAGGTTATACCCTGCTTTATTATACGTTGTTTTGTGCCACACCTCTTCCTAATAATTATTGAGGAACCTGCCGCTAAATTTACTTTTTTTTCTACGAACTACCAAAATCATACTCCTAGGGTTCCACGTATTCGATATTATTATTAAAAAATCTTTCAGAAATTTTTTAATGGTATCTCAATTTCAAATAAATGTTATTAAAGTGTATGAAATTATTTACAGTATTATGAGCATGAAAACGAGGAGCAATAATTCAGCGATAGTGCAATCTACAATATTAGTAAATTTTATGTAATATTATCAGTAAAAATATATAGCGAACCCCATAAAGTAGTGGATAAATGAGCGGGTCAAATCAATATACCATGTTTCGTAGCCCATCTGCAAGTGTTACTATTTATCAAACATTCCATAAAATGAATAAATAACATTTACCATTTAATAAATCATTAATAATAAATCGGGATATTGATACAGCTTGCTAATTTGCTAATGTTTTCTTCAATTTATATGCCTGTACTAAATTTCGGTTAATTGTGGAAAGTCCCATTTTTTTATCTCTTACGCACACTTAGTTTAAAATTACTATATTTTAATTCCTATTATCAATACAAAAATTAAGTATCCTGGACTGCTGATGTGCAGTCTAGATAACAGGTCGCGAGCGACAAGCGACCTCGCGGGCGACCTTTTAAGCTAATTTTACGACGAGGCTAAGCGAAGTTTTGACGGGATCATCTTCACGAACCTGAGCGTTATATGACGGCTTCTTTTTAGACTACTATGAGATGACCTCGCGCGTCTGTCACTATATTCAAATCGAAAAAAGAATTTTCAGTATCATCGAGAAGGCCTTGAAGGAAAAGTTTGTTTGCGTGCACTGCGTTATAAAAAGTAAATGTGTCACAGTAATTTTTAAAAAAGTAAATAACCGTAGTAAGTGCGTGACCATAGTAAATTCGTAATTACTTCTAAGGTATATATTACTATTATTTGTATATAATGAGTTTGCAATGTTTGATACAACTGATTACTAAGTAAATAAATACAGAAGTATATCGTAACTCGTGAAATTTTTTATCTAACTTAATTCTCCAGGCATCTAAAAGCATCTATTGGGGCTCGAGAAGTGATGTAATAATCTTGCTACATTTGAAATTGATTAATTGAAAAATTGCTTGGATAGCCACAGCCAAGAGACTGCAACGCCGCGTAAGTAGCTATCCAGAGGATACATTTTAATGTAAAGAGGCATAATTTTCATGTGAGACTCATTGAAAGAAATACAATTCTCGCATGATTCTACTTCTTCTCAAATAGAAAGAAGAGGATATTTATTTCCTATATCATAGCAGTAGTGATAATCTCCACATTAGGAAAAGTTCTTGTTAGACTGATTCTTATTGCACACAAGCTATATAAAATAAAATTCTCAGCTGCAATTGCCCCTGAAAATTTTCAAGCTTAGTTAATTTTCTAAATTTTGCAATAAATTTGTTACAAAGAACTTAGAATGAAGAAAATTGATGTCAAGTTAATACGAGTTAAACTTTAAAAATTTCATGCAGGAAAACTTGCCGACAAATTGCCTCTGCACGATTATTTCTTGATTGTAAGCTGTCGGCTTGACGAGACGATAAGGAACGTGTTCGTGATTATAGCTCGCCGCGCACGCTCGTCTCGTGACATCGTCATCACGTCATCATCGTCTCGGCCTCCTCCTAAGCCTGTGTTACTCACATAAAAAATTTGTTGACTACTGAACGTCCTGTAAAATCGTCATGGTTCTAGCTTCTTCACTAGCCAAGTTCCTATAGTAATAATTAAACATTTATTTTATATAATTTTGTAGTGGGAGTTGTCATCAATATTTAATAATAGAATATTTATTTAATAATAATAATGAAATCCATTATATATATTAAATAATAGTCAAGTTCCCACAATAAACTCGGTACGACTATTGCACGTCCGTCAACATCGTTGATCCTCTTCCAAGGCCTGCGTACTTTATGCAGATTGATTCACGAAAACATCCTGATTTGAAAGCTCGATAAAAAAAGAAATAATACTATTATCAATAAATGTACATTTTCATGGAAAAAATACCAGGATTCTTGTATAATTTAGTTTTAAAGATGATATCGGTCAATTGACGGCCCCAAACCCCAATTGTCAATGTATTCGTTTAGTCGATTTTTTAAGTTGCGTTCAACTCGCTGAAGCATATTGACGGGTATTTTGGCGTTGGCCTGGCGTATGTTGTTCTTCAAAAGAGGTAGTAGGGTTCTTGGTCAGTCATTATAAACAT